GGGCGTGGCGCGTGCCCGACGCCGCCGCTGAGAAGCAGAATTGGCAATGGAAACGGGACTTCAGGGATGGTGTAGCGGGCCCCAAGTGGCGCAGGATGCAGGGTGGGGCCAGACTTGAGGAGGACAGTCAGGAGCTGCTACAAACTGAGAGCTGGACTTGGCTACCGATCCCAGCGCGCTTAATTCTTCTTTTCGTATGCAAAATTGTTACCGCTAATCCCACCTGACCACTCTGAGAGTGGTAACCTGTCCTGTTTTTATGGCTAAAACAGAAGTGTATTTGTTCCCCAGGTAAGCCTGGTCAGGACCGGTTCTGCAGCCCCTCTCGCCTTCCAGAAGGCGCCGCAGGAAGCGGGAAGCCCCGGCCTAGTAGTCGCTAGACCTGAGGGACCCGCCGGCCCTACCCAGATCTGAAAGCGCCCAGGTCACCGCAGGCAGCGGTTGGGTATCTGGGCGGCTCCAGGCCTTGAAGGACCGGGGTTGAGGGCTCAAGGTGCAGAGAAGGGAGGTCGCTCCAGATCCCGGCCAGCTGCTAGGTGCATTTTCTGGCTCAGAAGGGATGGCTCGGCTGCCGAATCCAAGAACGGTAGTGGTGTTGATGGTGTTCCTGGGGTGGCCAGCCAGAGCTTCGAGCTAAAGGCTCCCACCTTAGGGCCGTTGCCTCCGCTGTGCCGCAGCTTAACTGCGCCAGGGAGGAGAGCGAGGTATCCGCTCAGGCTTGGGGAGGCGCCTTGCCCGCCTGAGTGAGGATGCATAGTACCGGTGCGGCCAGGGAGCTAGGGGAACCCTTGGCCTCTCCTCCGCGGTCTGCAAAGACGCCTCCCAGGAAGACGGCGGTCCTGAAATGTACAACCCGGGATCAGTCTGAAGGAAGAACTGGCCAGGGTCAGAGGTAGCTGCGGGGAGAGATTCCCAACGCCCCATCCTGCTGCAGGAGGACAGATTGGGACTGAGTCTGTTTGGAGACGCAGGATTTCCTTACGCCCACACCCAACCTTGTCTGCCCCAGGGAAGTGGCCCAGCTCCCACGCCTCCTGAGCCCCTCCTCTTAGCCCCCAGGCCTGGCTGCGCTTCGGGGCTGGATGGCGTGAAAGTTTCAGCCTCAATCAGTACAATCTTCCCTCGGGGTCACGTGAACAAATATGCTCGCATTTGAAGGCAGCGTCTGTATTTCCCGACTATGAGGAGGTTCCAGGGGCTCTCTCCAAATCCAGAAAGGGCCACGTTCCGAAAGAAAAACAAACCCCCGAACTCTTTGGGGGCCTGGGAGAGCCGGGCAGGAACCCAGGAGTGGGTGGGGGCGCGGGTGGCTGCGGCTCTGGGCCTGGGAGCGGACCGGCGGGAGGGTGGACCGACCGCGCTCAGCGCGGGCGAAGCCAGCTCGGGGACTACGAACTCGTTCCTCCTGCGTTTATTGGTAGTTGAACCTCAGCCTGGTTCCGTCCTACCGGGAATTCCGTGTGCTCGGGTATATGGCCGCGTCTGCGAGCACGCAAGACCAGGGTTGGGACAGTGCTGTCTGCAGACAAAGGGGGAAGGCTAGCTCTGCCCCCCACTGGCGCCCGCTCTGAGGCCGAGGACACCAGGTTTATGATAAATTGGGATTCAGGTAAGCAATTGCATGACGAAATGGAAATCTTTGGGCACGGGGCTGCTTACTGCCCTGAGTGGGATACTAAATATGATTTATTTTGTGTAATCTGTGATCTTGATTATTGCCAATTGGTGAGGCAGCCCGCGTAGACCTAGATACACTTCTACATATACATCGAGGACTGTGATTAATCTTAACGAGGTGCGCTTTGTGGGGATATTTCCCGCCTACCCAAAGGTTAGGAGGACACTACCTTGCCAGGCTTGGAGGGTGGCTGGAGGCATTTGGGGTAGTGGTGGCACTCTGAGGAGGGGGTCCGGTGAGGAGATTGGGGGGGAGGAAGTATTTGGGGTAAATGTGGGCTTATGAGAATGAGCTGAAAAATGAAATGAATAAAAAGAAACTTTTTTTTACACTGTCACTGCCAAAGTAAGATGGAGCGTCATATTAATTCTGTGTCTTGGGTGGCTGGGCGCAGGCGGGTTGATTTATATGTATTTAAAATAAACTCGGTGGCCAGCCAGCTTCCTGCATTGTTCTGGAAGCAAGCTCCACATACGCAGCCTTTACCTCTTGCTGTTGGCTTAATTTTTTTTTTTCCCTTGGGAGGTTAAAATGCTATAGAGCTTCTCTCTCCAGATTTAAGAGAACCTGCAAACCACCTAGAAGAGCTTGGGAGGTTCTTCCACACTCTCCCTCTCTGATCTAGGGTTTTAACTGAGATAGTGACAGAGACAAGGTTTAGGGCTTCTGGGTCTTTCTCCTCAAAAATCCTTGAGTGAAAGCTAAATCATGTATTGGTTCCTGCATCCCATCTACCCTTTTGTTTACTTGTTCCTGTGGCTCCTGGCTGGAGAAGGAGAGGACAATCCATCTTTGGTTTTTCTGGGCCAAAGCTGGAGTGAGTGGCTCCATGAACCCAAGTGAGCCCACACTCATTTTGGGAAACCACCGGGCTGCACCAGAATGGACCTCCATGGGGAAGGGACTTCAAATGCAAGGAGGAAGCCCTTAGCTTAGGGGAAACAGCCCCAGCAGAAGGAGGACCGACTTCCAGGGGCGTTACCATCAAAGGGAAACAGTAAAGTTGTTTTGTCAATTGCCTGCACTTGGCTCTACCAGAACTTTAAGTCGCTGGACATTTTTCTTTGCTGGCTGCCTTGGAGCTGCGCTTGCCAGCTTAGTCAGCTGAATCCAATTACTGCAAGCAGCATTTCATTTGGCCCCATGGAGCACTCACTTAAAGCATCCCCAAAATTTTCAATAATCCCAACCAAGGCTCCATGCTGGCCCTATCCTGAAGAGTTTTCTTGGGGTGCTCCTGGGATGGGGTTTAGGACTGAACTGTCTGAAACCAGCTCTTATTGACAGTTCATGGAAGGGGCTCCCTCCGCTTCCCCAGTTTCTGGCTTCCGGAAGATATTAGACTTGATGGTCCAGGGCCAGCTTGGTTAAACGTCCCTAATTCTGGGCAAGCAAGAGACCAAAGTTGGACTCCTTGCTGGATGCTAAAGGGGGAATAGTGGAAGCGCTGGAGAAGGTGCTGGAGGGCTCTTCTGAAGTCTCAATTTGGCCAATTCAATGGCCTGTTTCCTTTCCCCTTGCCATATTTCCTGTGCACAGAGCTTGCAAGCTCACCGCGCACCCCACAACGCCCAAGCGCAAACTTACCCTGTTCCTCGGTGGCTGGAAAACAAAATCTAGCTAAAGGCATCGGGGATTGTGGCCCTAGGTGGCCTTCCAACTTAGCTTTTCTTCTGTAGGGACGCTTCCAAACTCAAAGAACCCCTTTTCAAAAATAAATACCAAATAAGCCAGGAAAGTTGACATCCGCCCAGGTGAATGTATTATATAAAGCAATTTGGAGACCTGCCAGAGTGAAATCCCTGGTACTTTATGTCTCCGCCAGGCGACCGACCCTCAGGGACCGGGCCAGCCCAGAGGATTGAGGCAACGAGGCAGGCTAGTGACAGGCCCCCTTTGGGTCCCAGCAGACTGGGAAGCTGAAGCCTGGGCTTGAAGTTAGGAGCCCTACCGGGCTGGGATCTCTCCAAGGCGCTTCCGTTGGGTGTTCATTAAGGGGTGAGTTATTGCAGCACAAGCCAAAGGTCAATTCAAAGGCTTATGGCTGTGCGCTCTGGTCTTTAGAAGCACCGGGAACGCTTTGTGTGGGGCTTTCCTGGGTGCAGTTTAGTGTTTGCAAACTACTGAGTCGACAAATTACACAGGGCAGTTGTAAGAGGGGGACCATGTCTCTCTCCTTTCACCTGACGGGGGCGGGCACCCGCTGAGCCACAGCAGTGGTGGGCAGCTTGATCTGTGTTTTCAGATGGAGGTGGAATCTTGTAAGAAACTGCTTGTTTCTTGGGTGGTTTGCAGGCTGATCCTGAACCAGGAACCAGGAGCCGGCAGTTCAGGCCAAGAGTGTTGTGGATACTTAATGGAATAAATAAACTTTGGGAAACCATCCGACTTAGAAGACATAGAAGTAGGACAAGTAGGACGTTCAAATCAGGAAATAGCACCCAGATCCCACTGGGGTTCCGCAGGATGGCCCTTTGCTTGGATCCATTCAGGCCCACCTACCTATTCACACTCTTTTTCTGGTACCTCTCTCCCATCTCAGCTCTGTGCAGTTCTCTTCTGCTCCTAGGAGAGTGGGCTTGGCCTCCGGGATTGGGACCGGGAGCATTTAGACCTTGCTGGGGGCAGGAGAGTGGACTGGCTTCCTACACTTCAGATCCACTTGGCTCACTTCTTGGCGGGAGGGTCCTACTGCTTCTTTCAGATCCAGGGTGTCTCCTCCCCATTCAGCCAAGGATTTTGGTGTTAAAGGCCTCAGGCTCCCCAGGACCCAACTGAGTGAGTCTTTTTTTTCTGCTGGGGAGAAGGTATCTGGACTAGCTGCAGGCACTTTATACAGTACTCACATTGATTAGGACACTGTTAAAGGGAGTAAAGCTCTCAACATGTGTTTGTAAGAAAAAACCCCGCTGCTACTGAGAGTTTTTCATTTTGTTCCAGATCCGCCTGCACAGAGTATCAAAAGAAACCTGAAGAGCCTACAAAAGTTAGAGTCAAAATTCAAGAAAACACACACATTCATAATTGTGGTGAGTGGGTGTGATTTTTAAAAATAATTTCCATTACATTTCCATCTGTCCTGTGACTCTAGGTAGCCACCTCAGGATTCATACATCAAGACATAAAACAAAGGGCGGCTTTGAAGTGGATCACCTCAGCGTGAACTGCCGCAGGTTACATGATAACCGATCATCGGCAGTCAAATTTATGGGGCTTTAATAGGGTGAGCCCAGTGCCTTAAACGCAGGGTGTATTACACTATTGAGTTATCTGGGCTAAATAAGAGTGATTTTGAAGGCACGTCCAGGGCTTCCCATTGGGCAAAAGAGCCTCAAGCTGAGAGATTGGGAGAACTTGGACTGAACATAAATAAATTTCCTCCTGAACAAACCCGAAAAGCAGTGATTTCGAAATCCTGAAGTAGCAAAGCCAACAGGGAGGGGAGAATCTTTGCTCGGTTCCAGTGAATACACGGTGATGCCCAGCAAGAGTCTCAGCGGCCACCCCAGAGATCCGTGGACTTCTAAGCCTCCAGTTTAGGCAAAACAGGGAAAGGAGCCCAGAAACCTTAGAAATTCTTGAGAGAAACTGATGCAACCTGCACTCCATCGCGCCCCCCCCCCGCCCCTTTCTCTTTCAACTTGCAAGGACTCCTTCGGATTTACTACAATCTCAGCGCTAGTCACAGCCCGACGATTGTCATCCCCTCCCTTCCCCAGCCACCCAGCCTTTACACGGCGGCCGGCGGCGCGCTCCTGGGGCCCGAGCG